AAAAAAAAAAAAAAAAAAATTGCTTGAGCCCAAGAGTTTGAGTTGCTATGAGCTATGACACCCACAGTATTCTACCAGGGCAATACAATGAGACTGCCTGGGGGAAAGCGGGGGTAACAGTGCTATCTTTAATAATACAATATTTTTTCTTTTGTGTTGACATTTGAACTAATGGTGCAAAAGCAGTGGAAGGTGAAACTGCTGCTGGTACCTTAGCACCCATCAAGGCAGAGCTACCAAACCGTGCAGATCTAGTGACTGTGTGCTTCACCATGGCACATGCTCTTAAAAGAAAATTCCAGTTTCCTTAAAATGTGCTTGATGAAGCAATGAGTATTACTAATTTTAATACATAGCAACCCGTGACTTGGCACCCGTAGCACAGTGGTTACAGTGCCAGTCACATACACTGAGGCTGGTGGGTTCGAGCCAGGCCTGGGCCAGCTGAACAACAATAACAACTGCAAAAGAAAAAATAGCCAGGCATTATGGCAGGCACCTGTAGTCGCAGCTACTTGGGAGGCTGAGGCAAGAGAATCACTGAAGCCCAAGAGTTTGAGGTTGCCATAGTCTGTGACCCCACGGCAATATACCAAGGGCAACATAGAGAGACTCTATCTCAAAAAAAAAAAAATACATCTTAACCCGAGTTCATTTCTTTTTAATATTCTGTGTGACAAAATGGAACATATGTCTGAAGCATTTAAGTTGCATGGTTAAATATGTTACCTTGAGGTAAAGCCTCAGTGCTCTTGTTTTGAGTTGCAAACCTAACTAGCTGCTTTTGTCATGGGACACTACTTTTGCCTGAAAGAGCGACTGACAGAGACTATCGTTCTGTGCTATGGTTGTTCAGGCAGAGGTATTTGGCAGACACTTTCTCAAAAAAAATGAGTCTATTACTTTAATGAAGACAACTAACAGTATTTGTTGTCAGTGACAAATATGAGCATTCAAGCAAAAATTGCAATTTTATAAAATATGTATCTGCTACTGTGGGTTTGACAATTTCCCAGCAGACTTTTCTCATGAAATTGGTAATATTAAAAAAAGTTTTTTTTTAAGCATTGTATAATGAAAATGAAACATGTCAACTGTAAGAGATCTGGATAA